CACCTACTAAATCATAAATTGGGGGAATGAAATTAAACTTGATAACTCAACAACTTGGTATGATCCTGGCCTTTGGGCATAATTCTTGCCATACAGTTAATTCTAGACATGGGAACTTAGCCTTAAAAACTCATCATAAATAAATACATAGTCATGCCCTCCACCAACCACACTGAGCATGACCGTGGTACAAATATGAAGGATTTTATTCCCTATGAGCCTTGACTCTGCTTTCTTCTCTAGAAATTCAGCATTTTACCATTTCACTAGTTTTCAGTCCCTCCCCTGAACACAAGCCTCTCATCTTAATGGATGCTTAGGTCTGGACATGTCATACTTCATTTAGGACAGACACCCTTTTTTTTTTTTAATTTTTATTTATTTATTTATGAGAGAGAGAGAGAGAGAGAGAGAGAGAGAGAAGCAGGCTCCATGCACCGGGAGCCCGACGTGGGATTCGATCCCGGGTCTCCAGGATCGCGCCCTGGGCCAAAGGCAGGCGCCAAACTGCTGCGCCACCCAGGGATCCCCAGCCCACAGACACCCTTTTACCAGCATGTCTCTCTGCGTCTCTGAGGAGAAGGTTATCTCATCTTTATAACTCCCAGGCTCACACTTCTTTTAAGGGTTAAACTACGTATTAGATGAAACAGGTTGGAGAGGAAAAAGTTATGCAAAAAATGGCACTTTGATGTCAGCTTTTTAAAGGGAGGAAAAAAAGGTAAGTGAAAACCTAATGGAAAATACACAAGAACACTAGAATGATTTGTCCAAGGATGTAAGATTTGGGATATTATTCCTAAGTACTTCTTTACTAAGTCATATAATTTTCCACATTTTCTAAAATTAACATACATTATTTCGGCAGTGAGAAAAAAATAAGGTAAAATACAGAGAATCTCTCCAACTTATAGTATTTAAATTTGTAAATAAGATTAAAATGGCATTAAACCATTTTCTAAGACTTATTGGCCAGAGACCTGTTCAAAAATCTAGTATAATAGACATTTCACTGTGAAATCATATGGTTCTAAAACACTGGACATAGACATTTTGTGAATATGACTCTACATGTGTTTTTTTTTCTTCTTCTGATTTTAGAGGTAATACATGCCCACTTCAGATAATTTGGAAAATAGAGAATACACTAGAATAGAATAAACATGACCCTTAGTGGCTATATTGTGGCAGCCACAGCTATGTGCCTCTCCAACCGTGCAAGAAGCGTCTACACCCTCTTGGCCCCCATCCACCTGAGGCTACGCTCCCAGGTCCCTCCCAGCCAATGGCTGAGCTAATCGAAGGGTGGAGCAGGGGGCGGGGGGGGGGGGAAGAGGGAGGGACTAGTGCCTGGTGCAAGACTCCCCTAACTGACAAGAATATTCATTAACGGTTTTGCTCCAGGGCTTTGTTAACTCTTCTGCCTTTTATCGTAATACAGTCTAAAGTGATCTGGGCTTTCTGGAGATCTCACAGAACATCACACTGATTCATGACACCGATGACATGCTGAATGGACAGGTTAAGCAAGAGGCAACTAATAGTCTGGAGGCCTTGGTAAGACAACTGTGCTCTATTGGGCAGGAGACAAGCCCCAGGAGACTCAGCAACCTACTACCTAAGGAAATTTTTGAGAGGTCCTGTACTCTGGTGTTTACCAAGACATCCTGTCCAAGGTAAAAGATAAATTTCTGAATCTTGCATTCCTAACTTCAAAGATGGAAGCAAAACGTTTGGCGAGCCATTTTGGGTTCTGAAGGCAACACGTTACACATCTAGGAGTACTTCTCTGGGTCATATACTGAGTGATATGGAAAGCCTGTCAATTACGACTGGTGCCCGGACCAAGAGTGAGCTCAGCAGGAAATCTAAGCTGCAGTGCCAGCAGCTTTTCTGCTTGGGCCATATGATTCAGGAGATCCTATGGTGTCGATGATGTCAGAAATGGAAAAAGTTGCACTGTGGCAAGCCCCAGTAAGGGAATCACAGCACAAGCCATTGGAGTTCTGGAGCAAGGTCATGCCATCTGCAGTGGAGAATTATTTGCACTGTTAGAGCTGGAATGCTTGACCACGGGACACCGAGTGACTATGCATCCACAATTGCCCATTATGAATTGGTTTTTGTGAGACCCACCAAGCCATAAAGTAAAATAGGCTCAGCAGAAGTCCACAGTAAGATGGAAATGGAATGTCTGGGATTGAGGCTAAGCAAGACCAAGAGGTGTAAGTAAGCTGCATGAACGGGTAGCCTTGATACCCTTGTCACTCACCCTGGTTACACTAGTGACCCTCCTTCATCTTGCCCATATGACCATCTGTGTGAGAATCTAATACAACCAGAGGAAGAACCAAGACTTTGAGATGAGCTGTCATGGTCTGTGAATGCAAGCTGAAAATGGGAAGCAGCTTCAGTACAGCCACATTCAGGGTTGACCTTGAAAAACACTGGAGACAGGAGCCTTCCCAATGTGCAAAGCTGGGAGCAGTGCATCCTGTCATTGACTGTGGAAGAAAAAGTAACTCAAAGTGAAGTATATGGATTCCTAGGTAGGTGCCAATGGACTCTCTTCTAGTCACCTGGAAGGAAAAAACAAAACAAAACTGGAGGATAAGAGTGAAGGAGGTCTGGTTGGAGTGAATATTGTGAAGATTTGTAGATCATATACTAATGTCCATCAGAAACCACCCATGGAGGAGATACTCAACAACCAACCAGACACAAGGACTTGGCCAATTGATATTAACCAACCTTCATCATTGATCCTCCCAGAATTGGCACATTGAAGAGGCCTAGACAAGGGTAGAGACAGAAGCTGTGCATGACCTCAACAGCATGCATGCCCATTACCAAGGCTGATGTAGCTGCTGCCACTTCTGAAGTTCCAATCTGCCAGCAAAAGAGACCAAACTGAGTTCCCTAAACAGCACTATTCTTTGAAGAGGCCAACCTATCATTGTATGGCAAGTAAACTATGCTGGGCTCCTTCCATGCTGGAAGAGCCAGTGGTTAATCTTCAGAGGGAAAGATAATTTTGGGGGGTATGGGTTTGTTTTTCTTGCTCACAGAGCCTCAGCCAACACTACTATCTAGGGTCTTGCAGAATGCCTGATTCGCAGGCATAAAATCTTACACATCACGGCAGCCAACCAGGGGACCCATTCCACAGCAAAGGAGGTGTGGTGGGTCCATGATCATGGGATCTGCTCATTATATCGTATACAGCACCACCCAAAAGAAGTGGTCTTCCACTGGTGCCTTCCAAAGGGGCAAATGAAGTGCCATCTTGCTGTCAATACCCTGCAAAATGGGGTGCCTTCCTTTGGGATGCACTATGGACACTAAATCAGAAAACTTTATAGAGTGATGTGTCTTCTATAGGAAACATAGAAGCATCTGAGATCCAAAGGGTAGAAGCAAAAGAGGCCTCACTTATTACCACTCAGTGACCACTGAGGGATGAGGTGCTTCTTGGGCAACTCTGGGATCACAGAGGTTAGAGATCCTGGTATCCAATGGGGCACGCTCTTATCAGGGGACACAGCAAAGGTCCATTGAACTAAATGTCACGACTATTTCCAGGGAACTTTGGATTCCCTATAACCATGTTCCAGCATGTAAGAAGAGTCACCAATGTGACAGGGATAATTGACCCTGACCAGCAGAAGCATGAGGTAGGACTGCCCATCTCATGCTCATAAAGTAGAGCAGGACGGAATAATGTGCAACCCAGGTAACCAATTCAGGTACTTCTTGACAGATCTTGCTCAGTGGAAATAGTGAACAGACATGTGTGGCAACCCCAACCTGACTTGGGTACAATTACCAAGGGCTCAGACCCAGTAGGAATGAGAGTTTGGGTCACAGCACCAAGTATGTCATCAAGACTTTCCCTCAGGAAGAGAGATCCACAGTTCCACATATACAGGGAGCAAAGGATCTGAACAGCACAAAGGGGTGGATTGGGACATTCATCCTCAGAGCCTCCTTCTCGAAAACCTGCTGCAACTGTCCAAGCTGGGTCAATGCTCTCCCCAGGCTGCACTGGCCAGTGACTGGGTATGGTTGTACTAGAGACGGTCCATTTCTGCCTGATGCAGGACCCATCTAATGGGCAACCTTATAGTCTAGAGTTGACTGACTTTCTCAGCACTGTGCCAAGATCTGAGATTCTTCCACTCCATCTTTCTTCCATGTCTCCTTTAACAGGTGTTGGGCCTGCCTCTCGCAGCCTGGAGTCTCTCCCTGCATACTCTACTTCCCTCTCCCTTTTATCCATCACAGGCACTTCCCCCCAACAAATCTCTTGAAATTCTAATTCCATCTGGCATTTGCTTCCCAGAGGACTTGAATTGATACATGGGTGTATATGAATAAACACAATCAATACTGTGAGGTATTTGCTTTGAGTCATAAAGTATTATTTATTTGGGGCCACACTGTATCTCCTGAATTAATGCCTATATATGAGACACGCCCAATTCTACAAGCTGTTCAGGTTAGGGTGCATAAACACCACTGGTACCATCAGCCTAGCAATCAGTCTCATATTTGCCTTAGCTCTTTTGCCAGCACCACGTAGATTTTTTTTTATACTTCTAGCATTTGGGTCTCTATGATCACAATATTTGAGTTATTGGGCCAGAGTCTACATCCAAAGATGATCTTTCATTAAGTAATGCAGAACTGGGAATAGCAAGCCACTGTAGTCATGCGTGTGTGATATTTTACACTCATTCCTGATTCATGATGCAAAGAAGACAGGATTCTACTTTCACCTTTTAAAGTTTTTCAAGTTGTTAAACTGGGATGTAAGACTACAGTGCAGCCCAGGAGTAGAGGTGGAATCTGAAGAGCAAGAAGTGGGCAAGAATTAAAGATTCAGGGGAGGGATACAAGTAAAGAATTGTGGATGAGGATATCTATTATGCACATTATTTGGTAATTTAAATTTAAACCAAATGTTTAATGTTGATTTTTTTTTTAGTTCCAAAGCTGCTTACACAGAGTTGAGATGACACAGAGTTTATGTGAGACATACTTGATCACATCATCAATGGGCCAAGGGTTTCCATGAATACGTAAGGTTTGTATTAATAATACACTGGTAGCATTACCGATAGGTTTTACTTTTGTTCATCATTTTGTTATTTTCCCCCCATTACTGCAATAAGGCCATGTTAATTATAATCTTGGCCCTCTCTTAATTCTTCGTAATCTCCAGGTTCTTTTCTCAGTGGGAGTAGATATAGGTGACCAACGGGGCTCCCTTATCATAACAGGGTTGATTAAGGTAAGAAAAGTTTGAGAATCGCCATCCAAGAGATTTGCTGTTATGCCTCTCTAAGTATTTTTATCACTGTCTTTTAGGCAGAGTGGTACCAAAGAGGATTAGGTTGTGCTCACTGGTATTTTGGGAAGCTCCATTAGGATGCCAGCTTTCCCTCAAAGCCCTGCCCTCTTTGTGATTGGAGTCCTGTGTGATAGCCCTTGGTCGCTTGGTGCTGGAGGGACCTGTGAATCATTGTTCTACAAAGCTCCCTTTTATATCCAGCTTCTAATATGAGAATGCCCTTCTGCAGTGACCCTTGTTAGAATCATCAGGAAACTGGAAATTCTCAACAGTCTTATTTTGCTGCTAGGGCGAGACTTCTAATTGCCCAAACATTGGATTTTGACATCTGATGATCTGACATGTCCCCATCCACTCTTCAGCTCAATCTTCTTCATGCAGACACCTGGATCTCAGGAATAAGCCCCCACCCTGAACACTGTTCCTGTGTAGAAGTCATAGACCATCATTTCTTCCATCTTTGCCTACAGGCTTTTGGCTCAAAGACCTCTGGTGTCCACTTATCAAGGGTCTGGTCTTAGCCTTGGTCTTTCTTTGAATTTTTCATGCTCACAATCATTTCGCCAGGGCACAGCTCCTACCAAGTTGTCTAGATTACAATGAGAATGGGTAGCTGCCATAAGTATTGAGAACCCTAGTTCTATAAACTTCACTTCCTTCCTCCAATCTCTGAGGACAGAGGCACTGTCTTCCTCTCTCAGGCATTCGAGACGCTGCTTCTAGGTGCAAACACAACCCAGTTAGATTATATGATTACTAAGAAGTGAAAACACAACTTGAAGAACAAATTGCATTTACAATGTAATCTGAGCTAGGTAAAGAAAAAGAACAGAGAAAATTCCAGAAGGAAACATATCAAAATATGAACAAATGTTCCGCTTGGGTGATAGAACTGTAGGTAATATTTTTACCACCTCTTAGCAGCGTTATGTACTTTCCAATTTTCTACCACAGCCACATATCCTTGATAATCAAATAAAAAGAGCATAAAATGCTAGGGAACAACACAAAATGTAGTGATGCAAATCACTGTGAATCAGGCAAAGTTGTAGTGGCAGAAGGATGTGCACAGTTCCTAGAATTTGTTTGCAGCCAGATGTGGTCATGTCACTCCATTGTGGAATGGAATATAAAAAGAGGTGTGTGCCTTCCCCAGTGGTCATCATTCAAGGGGTATGGCATGCCACTTCTTCTCCCTAGCTCCTGATAGCTGTCAGGTGGGAGTAAGAAACAGTGAGGCTCAGAGCTAGGGGTGGGAGTCCAGGGTGGGTGAATATCAGAGAAGAGGGTGGAGCTCAGGGATGGGAGCAAGAACAAGGTACAACTCATGCATGAGGTGAGCCCCAGAGAACAGGTGGTGCTCAGGGTAGAGAGGCTGAGACAGAGCTAGAAGTGGTGAAGAGAGGTGTGGAAACATCTTTTCATACACTCTTTTACACACTCACTGAGATCTGTTTTACACACAGCTTAGTCATTAGAAAACAAGCAAAGAACAGAAAAGAAACTCTGTGTTTCAGGCCCACACTTTTTTTTTTGTATATTTTTAAATTGGAGTTCGATTTTCCAACATAAAGCATAACACCCAGTCCTCATCCTGTCAAGTGCCCCCCTCAGTGCCCGTCACCCAGTCACCCCCACCCCCTGCCCACCTCCCCTTCCACTACCCTTTGTTCGTTTCCCAGAGTTAGGAGTCTCATGTTTTGTCACCTTCTCTGATATTTCCCACTCATTTTCTCTCCCCTTTTTTTCCCTTTCACTATTTTTTATATTCCTCAAATGAATGAGACCATATAATGTTTGTCCTTCTCTGACTGACTTACTTCACTCAGCATAATACCCTCCAGTTCTATCCACGTCGAAGCAAATAGTGGGTATTTGTCGTTTCTAATGGCTGAGTAATATTCCATTGTATACATAGACCACATCTTCTTTATCCATTCATCTTTCGATGGGCACCGAGGCTCCTTCCACAGTTTGGCTATTGCGGACATGGCTGCTAGAAACATCGGGGTGCAGGTGTCCCGGCGTTTCATTGCATCTGAATCTTTGGGGTAAATCCCCAGCAGTGCAATTGCTGGGTAGTAGGGCAGGTCTATTGTTACCTCTTTGAGGAACCTCCACACAGTTTTCCACAGTGGCTGCACCAGTTCACATTCCCACCAACAGTGCAGGGGGGTTCCCCTTTCTCTGCATCCTCTCCAACATCTGTTGTTTCCTGTCTTGTTAATTTTCCCCATTCTCACTGGTGTGAGGTGGTATCTCATTGTGGTTTTGATTTGTATTTCCCTGATGGCCAGTGATGCAGAGCATTTTCTCATGTGCTTGTGGGCCATTGTCTATGTCTTCCTCTGTGAAATTTCTGTTCATGTCTTTTTCAGGTCCACGTTTTGATAAAGCTGTCCTGGCAGTGATATCAAAATGTCATGTTCCATTCAATTTCAATGCATTAAAACAAAATTCTTATCAGAGGACCATTGGTTGTTCAAGAGCACATCTCAGGTATCCTTTCTAGTAAGATGAGAGTGCAGCCTGGCCTGGCACAACACCAAATCCCCAGTAGGAGATCAGGATTGGAAAAAAGGACAGTTGAACTCTCGTAAGTTGAACCATTGTAAGTTGAGGACCATCTATGTAGGTGTTGAGTCCTCAGAGTCTTTTTAAGTTCTTAAAATAAGTGTATGAACCAAATATTATTACCACTATTTTATAGATGAAGAATGTGAAATATAGAGAATAAGTAGCCTCAGTACTACTGAGGTAGTACTGGTAGACATGAAAATCAAAGCCAAATCCGGCTGTCTCCAGAGCCTGGACCATTAACCTCTACAGCTATGGGACCTCTTACCTGGAACTCTTTGAGACAGCATGCCACTATGACAATAATAATCCTTATTCTTTACAAATTGTCTCATTGTTCACAATGTGCTTTCAAATCCATTGTTTTAATTGTATCATTCTTTATATGTGGGTCAGATATAATCATGTCCCCACTTTCCAGATGAGTTAACAAAAGACCAGAGAGGTCATCTGACTTTCCCAGAATTATTAACAAGAACTGCAAAGTTAAGGAAGTCCGCAAGACCACTTCCATGGCAATTGCAAGTTCAGGGGTCTTGGGTTTGATAATTCCCCAAAAGGACTCATAAAATTCACTGGACGCTGTTATATTTGTGGTTATGGTTTGTTCCAACCAAAGGATACAGACTAGAACTAGCTAAGACAAGAGGCGGATGGCGCAGAGTCCAGGAGAGGTCCACAGGTGGAGTTTCCGGTTGTCCTCTCCCAGGGAGTTGTGAATAGTGCTGATTTGTTCAGGCAACAAAGGTGCACAGCGTATTGCCAACAAAGGCAGAGCCTTGATGTCCAGAGTTTTTATTGGGACTTGGTCACATAGATCCCGCCGAGTGCGAGTGGCTGACCTTTTAAGTTTTATCTTGAGATCTGAACGCCTTTGATCTAAAGAGGAAAAAAGTAGAAATCTGCTACAGCCTCAACTGATTTTCACGTAGGTTTGGAGCCGCCTGATGGAAAACATAACTGGTTTCATCACTTATAGTCAAGACCAGAAGAGAGAGAAAAGATGAAGTTAGGAATGGAGTCGGTGAAGGCCCCAGGCAGCAGCACTCCTGGAATCTGACAGCAGGCACTCAGCCCAGCCAGTAAGTAGCAAGTGGCAGGGGGCTACTTGCTTTGTCTTTTCAATCTTTTGTTTCTCTTGTCAGTGCCTTCTGAGAGAGGTCTCTCTGCAGGAGTGACTGCAGTTGCAAATAAAGAAAATAGATGAGAGAAAGGAATTTATTTTCTTCCATTCCATAAATGAGGACAAAATGGAATGATTGTGGTCATAGATGAACTTCATCTGTTTCAATCGTTGCACTTGGGATTCTGTAAACACAATGAATCCAGGGTCAAGCAGCTTGTGGCTTTTTGGAATCTGTTGAATGGATCCTTATCAGCAGCCTAGGAACAGAATCAGAATGGTGACAAGTGTGAATAACCGGACGTAGTTGGATTGAGGGAGAAGTGAACTTTGCTGTTCTCTAGGACAATCAGGAAAATGTCTGGAATTCATAAATAACAGTGGGGGTGGAGCACACAGAGGCACAAAGCTGTTTTCCCTCTGCTTGGTTTTAGCAGAGTCTGCAGAATTTGTTTGAGTTTTTTGAAAAAATTCTTATGGTACTTATGATATAGTCAGGTAGAGTTTTCATAGCTCTGATTGCTTTCCAGATGCTAATGACCGCTTGATGCGATGTGCACACAGGCAATTTTAAATGGGTTTTCCTTTCACATGGTCTCTGGGGGTGTTTAGAAGTGAGTACAGTGTCCAGAAGTATGCTGCCAGGAGGCACTAAATCTCCAGCCTCTTTTCTGCTCTGGAGGCACTGAGATTAATCCCCAGGCCCATTTACATCCCTGACGCCAGCCAGACCCTGAGAGAGGTTCCAGTTTTTAGTGGCATGACCACGGGTTCTCAGCTGGAGGCTGAAGAAGACACAAGAAGCCTTTGTCGTCCCAAGGACCTCTGCCTCTTTTACCCTTTGCATTCCTCAAGGGCTCTGCCCACAATTTGTTCAGTCCCTTAACAGCCTCAGAAACAGCCAGCAGAGAAAACTGGCAGAGCTTCAGCCACGTGTGGAGAAACTCAGCCAAGTACACAGCCTGGAGAGTACTAAGCATGTCTGTGTACATTCTAGAACTCACCCACCTGGCCCCTGAGAACCCCTCTCCCTGAGGTTCCACACTCAGTGTCAGCTTTCATCACGGCAGAGAGGAGGTTGAACCCTGAAAACACAACCTTCTGATCCCAGTTGTATGTATTGTCTGGGATAGTGAGAAGTGGGGACATGGGCTGGTGTTTTAAATGCCATCACTGTGACAACCACTGTGACCTGGAGGCGTGGTTCTCAATCCTGGGAGCACCATCACCATCACCAGCTTAAACACCAAACAAAAAACTGCCAAGATCTCACTCCCAAGACTCAGATTTAATTAGTCTGGGGTGGGGTGCTGGCACTGTTAGGTTACTGAACCACATTAAACTGCCAAGGGTGATTCTTATCTACAACCAGGGCTGACAGCTTCTGATTTAGACCTAGACCACAATCAGATTTTATGATTGTAGAAGGTAATGCATTGAAGTGACATCAGTCTCTGTTTTCCCATCTGTGCTTGGGGAAAGAACAAGATAGACCTATTTGGAAGACCGTATCTGCTGGGGGCTGTAAGGGGCTTGTACCCACCCTCTGTCCACAGCTCTACAGGTGGGAGTTGACCGATATATTTAAATGCTTCAACATTTTTTAATGGAAAGTTTTATTATTTAAAAAAAATATTTTTAAAGTTTTTTTATTTATAAGAGACACATACTGAGAGGCAGAGACATAGGCAGAGGGAGAAGCAGCCTCCCTGCTGGGACCCTGATGCAAGACTCAATCTCAAGACCCTGGGATCATGACCTGAGCTGAAGGCTGATGTTCAACCACTGAGCCACCTGGATGCTCTTTTCTTTTTCTTTTTTTTTTTAATGTTTTTAATTGAAAGTTTTACTGAGATCATTATGGGTGCCTGCCCATGTAGTTGTAAGAAATGATATAGAGCGATTCCATGAATCCTTTACCTAGTTTTCCTCCAAGATAACATCTGCCAACACTCTAGTGTATAAACTACCATCGGGATGTTGGCATTGATACAATCTGCCACACTTATTCAGATGTTCCCAGTTTTGCTTGTACGGTGTGTGTGTTTAGCTCTATGCAATTTTATCACATGTAAATTCATGTGTCCATGACCACAGTCAATGTGTAAAACACTTCCACCCCTGCAAGGATCCCCATGTGGCCCCCTTTCACAACCACATACACTTGTCCCAGCCCTCCCCATCTCTAACCCCTGGCAACTAGCTAGCTGGTTCTCCATTTCTAAAAGTTTACATTTCAAGATCTTCTATAAATGTAATCATGAATTTTGGGATTGACTCTTCTCACTCAGTGTAATTCCCTGGAGAGTCATCCAAGTTGCCATGTGTGTCAATAGTATTCCATGGTATGTGTGCACTGCAGTACATTGAATTATTCACCCATTGAGGAATCTCTGGATGGTTTCCAGATCTTAGCTCTTATGAATGCAGCTGCTGTGAACATTCTTTTTTTAAAAATTTTTTGTGAACATAGGTTTTCATTTATTTGGAATAAATACTCAAAAGTACAATTGCTGGATCATGAGGTTTAATTTTATAAGACATTGCCGAGTTATTTTCCAGTGTAGCTGTGCCATATTATATTCCCACCAGCAAAGGAGTTCAATTTTTCCACATCCTTGTCAGAATTGGTGTTTTCACTATTCTTTATTTTAGCCACTCTGAGAGTTGTAGTTGTCTAAGGACATTGAATTGTAGTTTTAATTTTTATTTTTCCTATATCTAATGACACTGGACACCTTTTCATGTGCTACTTGTCATGTGAATGGCAGTGAAATGTCTGTCACATCTTTTGTGCATTTTCTAATTGGAATGGTTATTGCTTGTACCGTTGAGTTCTGAGAGTTCTTTGTGCATTCTAGATACTAGTCCTTTGTCAAGTTCAAGTGACACTTAGCATGCTACTCATGAAATACATGATTACTTTTTCACTGTGAAAGTAATACAACAGAATAATATCTAGCAAAAATAGGCAAGTTCTCCTCATGCCCTTCTATCTGATCTCGTTCATGCTTCCCAGGGTAACCATTTTTCACAACCTTAATTCAGATTCTTTTTTAAGCTCCACATGCACAAAATGAGCTTGACTGCTATATACTTTTCTGCAACTTACTTTTCTGACTTAAATTCTTGCCGTGACTGAATATACAGAATTACGTTATTGTTTCTCCAATCATTCAGCTTTTCCACTCTCTTCTAATCCAGAAGAAATAACAACAACACTCCATACCTCCTGAGATCTGAAAGTTTAGAACACTGATTCCACCAGCGTTTGCAGTCTTAGGTTGGAACAGAAATTGGAGAGCATTCGAAAGAGGACTGCAGAGACAGGTAATGGGAAGAAAGAGCCTTGCATCACCTGTGTTGGGACAAGGGACTCAATTTCCATTAACTGGGCTGTCATGGCTAACTGGGGAATTCCTTGTCTATCAGAACAACTGCCTCTTCCCCAGTAAAACCACAAAATTAGACACAAAGCTTTTTCAGTGCTTTGCCAGCTTTAACATGTAGTCAGTCAGCTCTCCATGGGAGGAAGCAGAGTCTAGGGTCTAGTGCAGAAAATATTGATGCCTATGCTTCTTTTTTTCTACACAGCCACAAGAGAAAGCAACTCTAGGATGGCCAAAAAAGGAACCATTTTCTCTTACTGCCTGGGATACATGTATCTCTAAGTGGAAAGAAGAAACCTAGAAAGAAAAAATTTTGTTCTCTGAGCTGCTCTGCTATTTTAGGAAATAGAGAAACATAATAGTCTTTATGTTTACTATTTATCTTTCCAAAAGGGGTAAAAAGGTTTTAATCAAAATCATTACCCTCTTAGAGAAGTGGAGTAAAGAATACGTGTGTTGGGAGGGAAATCCTTACTTTGTAAAAGCTGCCATCCTCAGCAGCCTAGATTAAATACACACACATCGTTTATGATATATTTATTGACTCAACAAATGTTACTAAGTGTTTCTGATGTGTCAGGAAGCCCACCTGGCAGTTAGATACAATGGTGACCAAACACAGAGGTCCTAAAATCTTTAGCTTCAGGAAATGGTCCAAACACTGGACGTTCTTGCTCTTGGGGTTTATTAATGACTTCTGAAAACTTCCACCAAGGGAGAAAATCTGCAGGACAAGGTGGACTCATAAGAAAAAAGCAAGGTGTCCACAAAAGAAGGTGCTAGCAAACAGGTCAGATATTTCAAAGCTGTTTTAATGGGCTTACAGGGTGTTTAGTTACAGAAGAGCATGGAGGTGAGAGGGATAAGCCAGCATAGCAGAGGCAAAAATGCCAAGCACCCTGGAACTAAGAGCTGGACTCTCTGGCACCCATCTCAGTATTGTCCCTTTTTCATCTAACATTTTGTCATTTGGTGAGCTGACCATTGCAGCATCCAGGACAGGCTGATCTGACCTTGACTGATAATATCTGGTTTCAGTGAGGTAATGTGGACGATGGCAAACGTCTGTCACTTGCATAAATCATTTTAAAGATGATTTGAGGCAAGAGTTGCTGATGTCCTAGGAAAAATGTAAAAAGGCTCTCATTTTTCATGTTGTTTGGATATTAAGCTCAAAAATACTAGACACAGTGCTTAAATAGTCTTATATGATGAAAATACATTGTGTTGAGATGGCTTGGTATTTCCTCCTTCCATGTGAAGCATGCCACATTCATCTCTCGGGGAAAGTTATTGGGCAAACATCACATCTATTTCTGACTAAAGGCAAACTGCTATGGAACTCAAACCAGATGCTTGGCTGCATACCGTCTGTCTGGGTTACAATCGCTTAATGTACAACTACTTGTAATACTCAAGTCCTCAGTACTTAACTTGTCCTGTCTGCCTGCTTCTGGCTATCGGCCTGATTTTGCCTCTGTTGGATTTTCTTTTTTTTTTTTTTCTTAGATAATTCCCAACCCAAACCCATAAGAAGTAATCATGGGGGGAGAGAGGAAAAAATAAAGCCAGATGAAATCAGAGAGGGAGACAAACCATAAGAGATTCATAATCATAGGAAACAAACTGAAGGTTGCTGGAGGGGAAGAGGGTGAGGGGATGGGGTGACTGAGTGACGGGCATTAAGGAGGGCACATGATGTGATGAGCACTGGGTGTTATCTAACACTGATGAATCATTGACCTCTACCTCTGAAACCAATAATACATGATATGTTAATTATTGAATTTAAATAAAAATTTAAAAATAAAAACTTAAAAAAAAAAGAAGTCAAGAGTTATTTAGTAACCAGCTATTCTGAGAAACTGATAGAGAAAAAGTTGCTCAGGGCAGTGATAGGATTTTTGTGTGGAAGCAGAAGAGCATTTATTTGTTGAAAGGATTTGGGGATCGGGTGGGTGGACAGGTTGTGTGGACACAGCATATCTTGAAGAAGGGGGAGACAAGAGCTTTAAAACATCTGCTTGTTAACTGTTTGAGATACCAGCTCATTTGGAAAATTCTAGATACGGAAAAAGTACTCATATTCATGCGACCACAATTTCCAGAATATGGAATAATTTCATACTTTTAATCTAGGGTGTACCAGTTGTGATTCCTACGTTGGCTCAGAATAAAAGGTGGGAATGATCATGTATGGTGATTCTGAAGAACTCATTGCAGAAACATGGGGCGCCTGGATGGCTCAGGTGGTTAAGTGATTGCCTTCGACTCAGGTCATGATCCCGGGGTCCTGGGATCAAGCCCTATGTCAGGCTCCCTGCTGAGCAGGGATCTGCTTCTCCCTTTTCCCTCTATGCTTTTGCACAGACTCTCTCTGTCAAATAAATAAATAAAATCTTAAAATTAATTGCAAAAACAGAGGAGACTTTTTGTTGCTATTGTTTCCTAAAGAGTAATTCAACAGCATTTATTAAGTATGCAGTTTGTACTTCCCACAACCTCTTCCTCATTTTCATTTGTTGAAAGCGTATCTGTTCTTTAAGACCTAGCTCAAATGCCACCCTCTTTTCTGATTCATTTCTTCCTTTCCCATGGCACATAGACGACTTTGTGTTGTGTAGGTAATTTTTTTTTTTTAATTTTGCCTGCTGCAAAGTAAGTTCTGTAAGACATCATCTGTTTCATTCACAACTATAGTCTTAGGGCATTGAATAGGTGCTCAGAAAATAATTGTTTCCCCCACTTGCTGGTCTTAGGTTAGTGAGAATACCCATGGATTTCTGAATTGTGAAAGCCCTGCTCAGCCAACCCAGAAAAATTTCCAAACTGCAGTGGGTATACCCCAGGTGGACTCAGGATGGTCTCCTGGGGTAAAGGAATGTGATGGTTAACTTTATGTGTCCGCATGGCTCAGCTATGGTGCCCAGGCGTTAAGTCAAATGTCCATCTAAATGTTGCTGGAAGGGCATTTTTTTTTATAATTTATTTTTTATTGGTGTTCAATTTGTCAACATACAGAATAACACCCAGTGCTCATCCCGTCAAGTGCCCCCCTCAGTGCCCGTCACCCATTCACCCCCACCCCCCGCCCTCCTCCCCTTCCACCACCCCTAGTTCATTTCCCAAAGTTAGGAGTCTTCATGTTCTGTCTCCCTTTCTGATATTTCTTACCCATTTCTTCTCCCTTCCCTGGAAGGGCATTTTTGAATGTGATTAGCATTTACATCAGTAGACTGTGAATAAAGCAGATTACCCTCCATTCCATGATGAAAGTGGGCCTTATCCAATCAGTTGAAGGCCTTAAGAAAAAAAAAAAAAGAACTAAGAAAGAATTCTGCTTCCACACTGCCTCTCAACTCAAGACTGCAATATCAACTCTTCCCTGGGTCTCCAGCCTGCTAGCCTCCTGCCCTGCAAAATTCAGATCTGTCAGCCCTCTCAACTCTGTGGGCCAGAAGCCAGGGCAGGATTCCAAATATTAAATCTGGCCACATGTTGATGTGTTATTAAAGTGAGGAGGTTTTTATTTTTTAACTGGAAATCTAACAGTGTAGGAACTCCTCAATAGTTATATGCAAATTGTACCTCAGAAGAGGCTCTTGGAGAAAGTAGGAAAGAAATTTTTCTAGGTCACATAGTATTTATGATCTTCAGGCATAAATTTTATGCCTTTATTCAGGCATAAATTAGGTCAGAGAACATACTCTTTTTGAGTGTGTTCATATTTCCTGCTGAGACTCTTTCTTAAGAAACTGAGCTCCATGCATTAACTGTCAGTTTTGCCCCAAATGTATTATGCTAACATTTTAAGGAATAAGTTCTTACTCTAGAAAAATGAGCACTTATGAGAATGTGGTGTGGTGAAAAGGCTTGAGCCTTGAAGTTAGAGTCAATCTGAATAGAAATTCCAGCTACCATTTACCTGCCATGTAATCTTGGGCATGATGTCTAACCTCTGTGAATATAGGTGCCTTCATGATGATAGAACTCTCAGTCTCATTTTTTTTACTAAGATGTGAAATGGCCTCCTCATTTCAACTACATCCGATCCTAATCTAGCTTTCCATGCTTCTTTATGTTTTTTCTCCACTACATTGATTACTGACTTACTCGATTGTCTATTTCTTTGACTACATTGAATGTAAAATGGTGCAGCCACTTTGGAAACAACTTGGCACTTCCACAAATAGTTAAACATAGAGTTATGTTATGACACAGAAATTCTACTCCTAGGGATATGCCCAAGAGAAGTAAAAAGCTGTGTCCACACAAAAACTTGTATATGAGAGACATATGGGTGGCTCAGTGGTTGAGCCTTTGGCTCAGGTTGTGATCCTGGGGTCCTGGGACTGAGTCTTGCATCAGGGTCACTGCAGGGAGCCTGCTTCTCTGAACTCTGCCTATGTCTCTGCTTCTCTTTCTGTGTCTCTCATGAATAAATAAATAAATAAATAAATAAATAAATAAATAAATAAAATCTTTTTTAAAAAAGTGTACATGAATGTTCACTGCAACATTATTTATAATAGTAAAAAAGAACGGAAGCAACCCAAATGTCTATCAGTTGATATGTGACTAAACAAAATATTGCATACCCACCCAAGGCATCTCTCTCTCCCTCTGCCCCTCCCCTTGCTCGACCTCTCTCTCTGGCTCTAAATGAATTATTCAGGAATAAAAATGAACAATATACTGATACATCCTACAACATGGATTAACCTTGAAAGCATTATGTAATCTTTTCATTACATAACTAGTAACGTAAAATCGAAGTAGAGTAAAATTGAAGACACTGACAAGACCAAACACTGTTGAGAATGTGGAGAAATAGGAACTGTCATTTGTTTGCTGGTAGGAGTGCAAAATGAAATAAGAATACTTTCATTTATTTACTGTCTTTGGAAGACAAGTCATTTCTTACAAAACTAAATGTACTCTTTTCCTATGATACAGCAATCATGTTCCTTGGTATTTACCCCAAGGAGTCAAAAACATGTCCATACAGATACTTGCACATGGTTGTATATAGCAGCTTTGTTCAGAATTGCCACCCCCCCACTCCCTCCCGCGCTCTCACTCTCTCTCAAATAAATACATAAAACGATTGTATCATCAGTCAATAGTGCAAATTATTTTGACTTAATATTTCACTTACTGAAAACTTTTAAATATCTGTCTAAATGTTAATACCAATAGCAATTGTATTACTCTACATTGTTCCAACTTAAATATTATTTCCAAGATCCTTAGGCTTGGACTATTATTAAATTAACTGATGGATATAGTTCAGTTATCTGAAATCTTTGGACACTTCTGAAGAGATTAAAATTTATAAAGCCAGAAATTACAAAAGCTATAAAAATAATTAATACATATTTGGTCTTGGTAAAGGTGTGATTAAGATGACAAACCAAAGATACAAAAAGAGAGATTCGAAGGGCTACATGCACTCCAGTGTTTATAGCAGCACTATCAACAATAGCCCAAATATCCATTGACTAATGAATGGTTAAAGAAGATGTGGTGTAGATACACAACAGAATATACACTCAGCCCTAAAAAAAAGAAATCTTGCCATTTGCAATGATATGGATGGAGCTAGGGAGTATAATGCTCAGTGAGATAAGTCAGTAAGAGAGACAAATACCATATGATTTCATTCATATGCAGAATTTAAAAAACAAAATAGATGAACATATGGAAAGGAGGACAAGAAGAAAGGAGAGAAGGAAACAAGCCATAAAAGACTCTTTTATTTTTCTTTTTAAAATATTTTATTTATTCATGAGAGACAGAGAGAGAGAGGCAGAGACATAGGCAGAGGAGAAGCAGGCTCCCTCTGAGCAGGGAGCCTGTTGCGGAACTCAATCCCAGGACTCGAGCCAAAGGCATACGCTCAACCACTGAGCCACTCAGGTGCCACCATAAGAGACTCTTGATGACAGAAAACAAATTGAGAGTTAATGGTGGGAGGTGGGGGTAATGGGGTAGATGGGGGGATGGGTATTAAGAAGGCACTTGTGATGAGCACTACGTGTTCTATGTAAGTGATGAATCGCTGACTTCTACTCTAATATATATAATATAGACTATAATATATAATATAGACCAATATTGCACTATATGATAACTAAAATTTAAATTTAAAAAATGACAAACATGGTGTCATACATTCACAGTCTTAAATAAATCAGTGGCACAGTTAATATATCTGAACAGCAAAATTAAGGTTTAAAACCTTCATCTTGTTTATATGTATTTGTGTATGTTTAAATGTGGAGCATTATACTAGAAATGTGAGAAATGAGAACTTTATGAATAATAAAGAGAAAAAAATAATTGAGGGGGAAATGGTCCTTGAATATTAAGTCTGTCCTTAAAAAAAAAAAACTATATGTCTTATTTTGTGGCTTTTATGGAGGACGGATCTTTCTTATAGTGAGAGAACTTCCAGAGAGGCTCCTAAATCTTTATGGTTTTGTGCTGACTTCTTGATTCACTTTTTTTTTCTTGATTCACTTTTTGACTACAAACTCTTATTTCTAAAAAAAAAAAGTTAAAAGTCTGTCAATTTTTACGTACTGATGTGATTTAATTGTTCTTTCTGATGATTTGTATGGCTAAAACTTTAATAATTTTTTCATCTTTGGACAGCTATAACTTACATGCTAATGCTACATAATGTTTTTTGATGATTATTTTTGATGTTGATTTTCCCAAATTTTGACTCTAAATATTACATAAAGAAAATGTTAAGGTATTATTTTGTCTAAGGGTTTTTTTGTTTTGTTTTGTTTTGTTTTTTTGTTTTTTGTTTTTGTCTTTTGGGGCAGAGACAACTCCACTGTGCTAACTCATGGCATTCCGAGTTCTCATATTCTGACCTTGGAACAGATCTATATTATTATTTAAGGAATACAATGTTTTATTTAAAAAAATAGGTCTTGGTCTGGGCTCATCACTTTGGGTCTTGAATAAAGATGTTATTTTGTCTATTTGGGGGGTTTCCCAGGAGGCTTCTAGGACATGCCAAAAATTTGTTCTAGGAATTAATAAAATGAATACTACTACAAATGATTAAGAATATGTGTTATATGTGACTATGTGGATGGTGCAGAGCTATATTTGTAATTAGCTCTCTATGATAGTGAGAGCCATCCTCTTGTCAATCTCATATTATCGGAGAAAAAAAACACTCTCAAATCAAAGACACTTGACCTCTGTAGGTTAATGTACATGCAGGTAAAATATTATGAATGTAATATTTCCATAGAGAAAACTGAGTAGATCACAGGAAACAAACAGGGTTGCTGGAGGGGAGGCAGGTGGAGAGATGGGGTAACTGCATGATGGACATTAAGGAGGGCATGTGATGTAATGAGCACTGGGTGTTATATACAACTGATG